GCCAAAAAGGTTGAGAAACACTGGATTAGAGGAAACCTAAGAGCTAATCTGTGCAGCACTTTGTCTAACATGAGTAAAGAATGATACTATCACTTTCTTCTACTAAATATCATATTTATTTATGCCGTTCTGTTCTTGATGCATCATTCTTAGCTCAACTTTATATTCATTACTAATGCTCTCATGTGAACTCATTAATCATCTATACACAGAGAAAGCACGTTTCACTTAATTCCTTTATAACCCTGTGTAATGGTGCTACATGTTCACTTTTCATTTAGGCAACCCTTATATTTTAAAGAAAATGTTTTGCTTAATTTGTTTTATATTTTACTTTTATATGGACTTTGCAGGGTTCACTATACAATGCCCCAATTGTTCTTATTTTAAAAAACGGACACATTCAAAGCAAATAAATATCAATCAATTATACAACTGGTAAGATTTATTAATAATACCAAAGCTAGTATTGCCTTAAAGTCAGTCAGTCAATCTGAGTAAAGACTGATATTTCTTGGTAAAAATTCACAAACAAGCGACGCAATGGTGCAATACAGAAAATTACAAAATAATAGTTCAGAAGACAAATACAATATAAAATTAACAATGCACTATTAGAAATAACATATATGTATTATTAAAAATTTTAACATTAATATTTAAAAAACAAACATAACAAAATATATTTATCTGTAATACGATAATTATATTGCACAATAAAAATAAATAGAATAAATAATATTTATTAACTGTTTTAAATGGATAAAAATATTTCTTTTCATTTAACAAAAAATGTAACATCAGCACTAAACATTTAAGCAATTACTCAATATAATACAACAATAAAATAATTTCAATAAATTAAATTTTTGTAATATGAATTAAAATTAATAAATCATATTTTGGCACACTTAGAAATACAGCTCAAACTAAAACATAACAAACACTGAGTATAAAAATATAATATAAAATAAAATTCTAGTTAATAAATAGCAATATAAGCACCATTAATCATATATTACTGAGATAGAATGATTTTTACCTGTTTATCATAAATGAAAAGCAACAAATAATAAAATAAAAATCTGGCAGATAAAAACAGCAAAGAAATTTTACAAGTCAAAATTAACAGAGCATTACTAACTCAAAACAAAAACAATTAACTCCTTTATGTAAAATTAAATTGAAATTCCTTATATTCTTCTTCTCATTGGCACGACAGCCCAGGATGAGCCCTGGCCTTCTCAACAAGCCTATGCCAAGACATTCTTCCCTTAGTCAAGGTTTTATCCTTATATTAAAGAATTATTAATTTTGAGGCAAACAACTTTCTTCAGAAGAGGACTGCGAGAAAAAATGCTTACCTTTGGGGCCACAATTAATTCAGCATTTATTACAACTAATAATGGCTTAATTATTTCTTAGTGTAATAAGTACAAAATCAGTTTGTTTTAGTCTAAATAGAGCATAGTGATATTAATAAAGTATATATATATATAATAGTTTCAACTTAAAAAAACACTTGAAGCTTAGCAAGTTTTTAACTAGGTCAAAAAAAATTTTTCATAATTTTTATATAGAATATAAATTACTTCTTTAAATTTTAAGTAAACCAATTTTGTTTCATAACATGTTTCGGTTAAACAAAAATCTAAGAAAAAATTTTAATTGAAATATTTTAAATCTTACATTTTTAGAATTTTAGTCTTACGTTTTCAGTTTTTTTAATAATTTGAAAAAATGTCATGAAATTTCTTACACTTTTACACTAGTTATGCAAGTTTAATCTAATTAATTTTTTGCTGTAAGTTGGAGAGACGCAATTGGCCACAAGTTGTACACCCCTATTAATAACTGGAACATTTAAACAAACTAAATACACTTTCAAACGATTAAATGAACTTAAAATAAATAATTGAATAAAAACTTAAAATGCATAAATTTTTAACCAAATAAATATTTTTAAAAAAAATCATTTATGTACAATAAAAATTGTTGCAAGAATATAGGCAATTCTAGAAGTGCTTCCATCCTATGTGCATTTTCTAATGTACCATGTTTCACCATTCATTCAAGAAAAAATTCAGTTGCCAGTAAATTACAAGAAAATATTAGTGGGTGTAAGGATTACACTTATAGAAAATGAAAAAATTTTCAAATTTATAGCAGAAAAAATTGAAAAATGGGTAACACTCAATATAATTTTTAATATGATTTCAAACCATATATTCATTTTTCATTAGGAACTTGGTAGAAGTTTGTTTTTATAAATAATAAAAAATACTTGCTTTCGACAACAGATTAAGACATAAAACAAAACATAAATAATCTTATTTCTGGAACTTATTCCATAATTTGTAAAAAATAATAATAATTATTATTATCATTTATAAAAATAAATGTAAATCAATTTAATGCTATGAGATTGCATTAAAAAGTAATCTTACTTATCATCATTTTGACTGAAAAATTTACCAATCAAAAACTAGACATCGATAATAACCCAAAATAAATTTAATAAATACATTAAATTCATGAGGTTAATACATCACCTATCTTAGTGGTTCGGAATTAATTTTAATATAATGACACCAGTGTTTCCAGAGATGGAAAAGTTCACACACGATTGGAGAGAGTGGCACAGAGGCCGAGTTATTACTACTAAACTTATTGAGGTCCAAGGCTTACTGTGCCCATCTCAGTTTTCTTGACCTTGGGCTCTGAGGTACAGGAGCATATGTTCCGGTCAGGTGGTCAGCCGAACGCGGATCCCCCAGTGTTTAGTTCCCAAGCATGCTTGGTACTCACATTTATCGACGAACTGAAGGGATGAAAGGCTAAGTCAACCTCGTCCGGCCCGAGGATCGAACCAAGGACCTGTGGCACGACAGCGCGAAGCGCTACCGCTCAGCCACCGGGCGAGTTATTACTACCATCATCTTATTTCTAATCCTTAATTGTGGTATTGTAATGCACACATGAGCTAATACTGCCTATGGTTAACCATTTAAGTTTAATACCAGATCGTCACCCTAAATCTATTAGTGTAGATCTAGAGTGATGTCAACAGCCTAACAAATATATCACAAATAATTAATTATAGTAAGATCAGAATTTAAGGGTGTTACCCAATTTTCTCTTAATCTTCTGAATAATGATAGAAAGACACAAAATAAAACAAGTTCTTTACAAATATATATATATATATACTCTCAGCAGTGTCTCCATTACTTATAAATAAGTGCATTTTAAAACTACGCACATATGTGCTAGTCCTTTCAATGAATTAATATATAAAATTTGCTTTATGTGATAGAATATCATTATTTAATTATTTATACAAGATAATCTAAACTGATATGACAAAGGATGGAAATATTTTTGAAGTTCTTCCATACTTGAGACTTAATTACTGAAATATTTATGCATAAAAATTCAATTTCAATGTTTTAAAGAGATTAGTAATAGAATGAATAGTGATAATTTTACAATTCCTCAATTTAAATATACATATTTATCTGGTAATTTATATATACAGTAGGGAACCGATTATCCGGAACGATCGGGACCATCGCTATTCCGGATAACTGACTTTTCCGGTTTTCTGAATCGCTACAAAAAGCTGTTTTTTTATTGTTAAACCCAACTAAAAAAATTTTTTTTTTTGGAATTAATCTTAAAAAGAAGAAAAAACGATGGAGTAATACACTAATGATTATTTCCAAACTGATGGTAAGGTAAACATCTTTCAAAAAAGAACGAAAAATCCTAAAATCTTATGAGGAAAAAATTTTTTTTTTAAATGGCGGGAAAATTAATCACATTTTGTTCCGGTTTTTTGGTTTTCCGGTTTTCTGATTTCCGGATAACGGGTTCTGTACTGTATATATATATATATATATATATATAATATTCAGAGGGACAAATTGTCAGATAAAATATACTTAAAAATTTGATTTAATCCTTTGACTATTAACAAAATAGGTATGTTAAAAATTATCAAAATTATTTTTGGGGTAAGCTACTTTGAAATTTTTGGGCAAAGTTCTGTAACACAGACAAAGTAGAGCATGCTCCAAATTGTCATTCATAAAAAATTGCGAACTTCAAGTAATTAAAATTTAGATGATGTTAAAAGTTTTAATAAACTTTTATTTGTATTGAAAACTATTTTACAGCATTTTTATTTTACTATAATTTTTTCATTGAAATGAAAATTTATGTAAAACATACATAGGGAGAATAAGAATCTGATTGGTACAATATAGACAGAACCAAATCCAGTTAGAATATTTGCCAAGTTTCGGAAAATGATGAATCAAATATTATTTGGTAAAATAGCATAAGTATAGATATTATGGTATAATCTGTTTCGTTATGATATAGTACATTTTCTTACAGAACTGTTTGAAACATTGATGATAGAGTTATTATTAAATATTAAAAAAAATAATGTCACATGGAAAATATGAATAGAATTGTTTGTAAAATCAGTAGTCAAATGATTGTTTAAATTTTAAATGTTAAAGTGATTTAGTGTATGCTGTAATGGCTCCATGACACAGAAGTTGCCCAAAGATAAAGTGTCTCAGGTAGAACAAGAATAATTACACTCATATACTTGAAGAAAAAAAATTATTAAGTTTATTTTACTTGTTAGTTTATTCTGGTCATTCAAATATCAGAATAAAATGTTTTTTTTAAAGCAAAATGTATGGTCAAAGGATTAAATTGTAACTTCTGTTACCTTCATTGAGTGTTAATTTTTAAAAAAATTATTATATTAGAAGTAAGGAAAAAAAAAGAGAGAGATGTGCAAGTTTTGAGGTAAACAAAATGTTCTCCATAACAATTTTGTTTGTTTTGATGCCAAATGCAGCATATCATTTCAAAACTATTCTCTGTCATATAATAAAAAATTTATTTTATTTAAAATATTATTTAAAAAAATTTATTAATATACATTAATATAATTAGTAATTTTACAATAAGGAAATAAATTTTTTTTTATCTTTAAAGATATATTTTTTAAAAACCATAATACTGATAATAATTTCATAAGAAGAATAAATAAATTACTTTTACATGGCACATAAAATATGAAGTCAAAGACTAGAATTGAACAGAATACTTATCACAGGCAGCTTTTTTAATTCTTTTTCTGCAAAACTTTAAACTTTATATTTTTTATAAGCTACTTGATTAATCTTTGGAAGATAAATTAAAAGTTCAATTAAATAAATTTAAGTACACATTTCAATTCAGATATTCTGGAAACATTACATTTGATTAAATTCCTAATGGTAAACTCTTAATGCATATATGCTCCCAAGTAAGGCTCTAAAAAGCAATATATCATTAAAACTTTTAATTCCACATAAATAATATATAGAAATCATAATACTAGAAGATACAAAATAATCAATCTAAATAATGTTAAAATAACTATTTTGACAAATATTTTAAAGAAAATAATTGTAAGTAAAAAATATTTCTACTCTATTTAATAAAATAATTTGAAGAGAAAAAAAGACATTTCTTGTGTATAGTATTTAGTTTTTATTAGAGAAATGTTTGCAAATTAATACTAATACTAAATAAAGATATTTCTGAAAATAAATAAATAAAGTAAGTAAAAAGTATAATACAGTAAAATATAAAATTTTCAGATCCATAATGCACACATAGAATTTTAAAATAGCAGGCAGGAATATTTTTTCATAAGTTTACAGGTGCCTCATGAGAATATTTCTAGATAAAAAGTTTAACATTTTAAAATGTAGCCATATCTAGAAAAAACTTTTCCTACCCGAAACTCGAAAAGAAAAATGAAAATATTTCAAACAGATCTATCTTTAAATAGGAAAGACTAAAAACATTATGAAGTTGAGAACACATTCAAGACAATACAAATGTGAACAGTTGAGCCTCAAGCAAGGATGAACTTTGCTACTTGTCAGTCAGTTTCTTCTGTATCATTGAACATATTGCGAACATCTAAGACAGTCACTAATTCAAGAACTGCTTTTTTTAAGATTGGCTGTTCTAAAATCTCTGGCTCAGATAAAGGAGGATGAGATCTAGGTGAAAAGTTGTTATTCTGAAAGAAAAAAAAATTCAACGATAATCTTAGAAACATATACTGTTTATCCAGATTTTTCAACAAAAAATTAGTACTTAAGCACTCAACAAATATTTTTAATCACTTTTCAAAAAAAAAATCATAATTAAGATCTGTGCAGCACTAAAAAAAAAATTTCTACTGTTTAACCCTTTCTCTCTCGCTCCAGTGAAAATGACGGGGTGAGATTTCGCCCGCTATTTCTCGCTCCCGTGATATTGACGGGCTAGAGTGTCCAGTAGTAATGCGCCAATAAGAATAAAACTAATTCATTTCTTTTGCTCAGAAAACATTTTATTTCTCATTTTACACTCCTGATGGCAGTATCAGGATATTTTTAAGGTAATTGTAGATAGTTTATTTTAAACTAGTTGCAGCACTAATCAAATACGTAATACAAATACGAAAGCCAAAAAAATAGGCACTTTTATGCAGGGTTCATTGATTTAAATCAGCTTGATTTAATCTGTATCAGGTCTGTACCTGTATCATGATTTAAATCAGCTTCTGTACCTGTATCATGATTTAAATCAGCTTGATTTAAATCATGATTAAAATCAAATGATTTTTTTAAAAAAATCATTGCTTTAAATCAATTTATATATATTATATTGATTTTAAAAGTTAAAAAACAGTGCTTTAAATTATTGATACTTTTATTATTTTCTTTTCTTAGTTTTAAAATTTATTTTAATTAAATTGCTGCATTAATTAATTTTAGTTAACGAAATTACTTTCTTTCTTGGTGTGTGTTAAACACATTTGAAATTACATGTTTAAAAATCTTTTGATTCTTAACATTGAAAGTACAGATTAAAGTAAATATTTAATGCTGTCTTAATATAGACTTGCATAGCTGTAGAAAGTAAATAAACATGATTTTTTTTTCAAAAAGAAAAAAAAGGAAATGTTAATTAAAATTCTACCTTTTGATTAAAAAAGCATGCAATTCAAATCTACATTATAGTTTATTGATGGAAATTTCTATGTTTCTAAAGCTTGAGGTAATATTAAAAAGAAATTACCTTAATATGCCAAAAATAGAAAGAAAGAAAAAAGAAGCTGAGTTCAGATATTTTTTTCCTGATATAGTGTCATTCTTCCCTTTCAAAGTCAATTTGAAGCAGTAGGGTTTATTAACTGGTATTTTTTTTTTCTTCTCATAATATGCTTACGGTATCTTTGAAATTATCAGATTTTCTTTTGTGAAAAAAATTCTAATGAGTACATAGATTTTTTTTAAATGTTTTTTTAGCTTAACTTATGAATTTTGATATAGGATTAAAAATGAATACTTTAAATATATAGATTGAATATTTATTTTTTGATGAATGACAACATTTATAAACACAATCTGTTGCAGTTATTTTGCCATTTTATAAATCATGAGGGGAAAAAAAAGAGATCACAATTTTAAATTAAAATTATGGTGTGCTAATTGAAACTTTGTGTTACTAGTTAAAGTAGTATTCTTTAAATTATCTATTTTATCTTGTCTTTTAATTTCAATCATGCCTTTGTATCAAAATGGTCGCTATGCATTATAATGAAAAATTATTTTAGTAAGTTAGAGCTTCTAAAATACTGTTATAATATAGTTTTAATATTAATTTAATTTTGACGAAACATTTATAAGGTTTTTTTAATCATAAATTAAAGCTCTTATAGTGTATATGAATAAAAATCAAAAAAATCTGATTTAAATCAAAATAATCAGATTTTTTTAATTTTTTTTAAGAAAATCAAAAAAATCCCAAACCTTGCTTTTATGACCATTTTCTTGAAAATTAACCGATCGTTAAGGAGTTAAAGTTCTTTAATTTATAAAAATAAAAACAATAAAATTTTTAAAAAATTTCAAAAACTTTACATAATCATGATAAAATAACTAGTGTCTGATAAATATTGCGGAGAAAATTGTGAAAAACATGCATTTTTTGTAATTTAGAACGACAATCGATACGGCAAAGAAAAAATATCCTTTTAAAAGATAGAAAGCTAAGCACTTTTTACAAACCCTGAATAAAATAAGCCCCTTGAAGGGCTGTTATAAAAAACGTAAATCAAAAATAAGCATCTTTAAGTACTTTTCAAAATCGCTAAGCACTCTGATATACCTAAAAGAAAAGCATGGATAAAAATAAAATTATATATTTGTACCCAATTGAACTATAACTATGCTACTAGTCAAATAAGTTAGAAAAGAAGGTGTCACATCTAATCCATCTTAAAACACAATCTTACAGGCCGGGCTAGTAAATTCTCAGTTTTTTTTTCTACATTGTAGATCAGGAGAAAAACATGCACATCCTGATGGCTTCAGTGCTGGTATTTGAGCAGGACATGAACTGTTGTTTCCTTTTATTCAAAATTTTGTTGAACAATATAATGTTATATACCTTTAACGAAGAGAGGGGAGGAATCAAGTAGGTAAAACATTTATGTCCTTTTCTTTGCCACAATCTGTATAATCATATAAAGTTAACATATCTTTGTCCATCAAATAATTTTTTATTTTGTCAAACAATTTATCTCAACTCAAATAGAATGTCAACTCAAAACAAACTTTGGAATAAATCATTAAAAATTTATATCTACAAAACTGCAAAACCCATTTCACCCTCTGCTTTTTCATAAAAAAATCACATCACTTAAATCACATTCCAGAAAGAAAAAAAATCCAACCTATTATTTTACAATAAAAAAAAATTCACTAACATAAAATCTATTGCATAACTTTTCGTAAGAAGACAACAAATATGAAATACTAACCAAAATTGTTACACAAAATTCTTGTTGTCCTATAAAGTTATAATAATATTATGGTTTGATTTTCGGTGCATCACAAATTTTTAGAATAAAAAATTTCTGGAATATACAAGAATAAAATCAATGTCTATTTACCACTATAATGATCTAAAGAACTTTGGGAAATAATTTAAACATGAAATATAGCTCATAGCTCACATTAAGCAGAACACTAATAATTAAACTTAAGTTCGAATCAAAATTAAAAATATTAAAACAGCAGAAGGAAATGAAGGTGAAAGTATTACAGAAATTCTAATAAATAAAGGTAAAGGGAGAATGAATGATGAACAGCATTTCCCATAATATGAAATTAAGATAATTTTTTTCAAAAAAAAAAATTCTGATAAAAGGATTACTAATTAAATTTCATTAAGTCGCCACTATGTAAATCAACAGCTTAGTTTTGGCTCATATTTCTAGTGGACAGGGTATAATCTTTAAATTATTTCTAAAATTGTCATCATAGCCGATATGTGAAGAAAAGACACCTAGCAACTCACCATGAAAAGTCTGTGCAGTCTTAAAACAACATGGCAGAAAATGAAACGTACTATCAGCAATCTCAAAAAATCATCTCCATAAAACTGTAAAAAGGCTGGATCTGAAAAAACAATTTAAAAAACACTTAAACTAGAAGAAAAAAAAACACCTATATTTATTGAAATTTTATCAAAAGATAAATACGACATATGGAAAACTCCAAAAGTTTTAAAGGAAATTAAACATAAAATATTAAACATCTGTATCCATGCTGATGTTAAATAAATGGAAATAAGTAGCACAAAAGATATGAATACTTAAAAGTTAATGTTCTTTAAACAATCAACATTTAAAAATGTGTGTTTAAGTTTAAGGCTTACCAATATTTCGGCACTTAACCAAAAGCCTGCTAGCTTCGGACATAAACCGATCTATGTGACTTTGACCTTTTTCCCATAAAGTATAAGGTATGTCTGTTATATTGCAGATAAAGCAAATAGCAGTCAATGGGCTATGTAGAAAAAGAGTGAAGAGATTTCCTTTGTGCTGCTGATCTATAAAAAAGGCAAAAATTTAATAGAATTTTAAAAAACAACAGAATTAAAAAATTAATAATGCTGCATTTATATGTAATCCTTTATTTAAATAATAAAAAATTAAAATACAAAAAGAGTACACCAAAGAACTCTTTTTTTTCTATCAAACATAAAACTCAATTCATTATATAAGTTCTTCTTATTTAAGCTATTAAGCTTAAAACATAATCTTCAAACTACATCTTATTTTAATATTTCAAACATTTTTCTGAATCTGTAATTTTCTGAATATTTAATTGAGTTCCATATTACATGCCGATGGCATTTTTAATTACAAATTACACATTATCAGCCACACTTTTAGTTTATGCCACACACTTTAAAATAATTCCTAGAGATGTTGACTTAAACTGCTGATAAAAATTTTAAGTTCATTTCAAACCACACACACTTATATTGTAAGAATTTTAGAAAAATTTGCAACATATTTAGCAAAAACTGTCAAGCTTAACATTTTGATTTTTTATCAACATTATGCATTTATTTTAGCTAAAATATGCTTTGCTTGTATACTCCATTTTGTTTTGTTTCCCACAAATTTATAATTATGATTACTGAATACTTAAAGTTAGAAAAATCAAAATCATTGAGAAGAATAGGCAAGCAATTGTTGAAGAATTTAAATAAAAGGTACACCATACGGATAAATGGTTGAATGTTTTGCTTACCATGGAAGGATGGAGGGATATCTTCTGGCGACATAAGAACTAAAACTGGCTGTCCAAAATAACGTGGAATATACTGAAAGGCATGACTGTTGTCACTATCCACAATTAGAAATAGAGGCTTTCTGGTTAAAGGATATAAATCACCAGGATAAAGGCTAAAAGAAATTTTAATAAATTATAAATTAAACTAGAAGTATGCTTCAAAAGTTTATTACATAAAATATGTAAACAACAAAAAAACATGTGGCAGCTAATTTCCTTTTCAATGTCAAAAAAATAAGAAAGAAAAAAGAAAAATGTAGGACAAGACTTCATTTATACAACTTTGAAATGATTACTAGCCTCAAAGCTATCCATTTTTAAAAACAGTAATAGAAAAAAAAACTATCTTATAACACTAAAATAATTACACACAAACATGCTCAAGAGACTTTAAGCAAATTGAAAGAAAAAAAAGCTATTATACACTTTTCTTATACATTACAACTATTATACATTTTTCTTATACATTTCAAAAGTAATTAGAAAAATACTATCTATAAACAATAAAATAATTACACATAAACAAGTTCAAGAGACTTCAGTGGTAATTGAAAGGAAAAAAAAGCTATTATACATTTTTCTTATACATCTCAACTATTATACATTTTTCTTGTTGTAAAAAAAATCATTAAATTATTGCATTATTATCATTAAAAAAAATCAAGGTATAAAAACTTAAATTTTTCTTAAAGGCTAATGGAAATGTTACGCTCTTGCCCAAATTGTTGAAACAAATTTTCCAAGGAAAATGGCTGCAGATATTTATTAAAAGAGTACAAAAATACAAATTTAAAATTCATATTCTTACAAGTAAAATAAAAATATTTCTTCAAAAGATAAATTTATGGAATAAATTAAAATTTCATCTTTCAGCTACATAAAAAAAAGAGAAAATTTTTTTTCAAAATTATTATAAATATTGTACTATAATTGTTAATATTAATAACAAAAACATCCTCTCTAATCAAAGTTTTAAGATACTAAAATATCATGATCAGAAAAATAAAACTAATCCAACTATTTAATTGCAAAACTACATGAGCAATCAAAAAAAAAAGTGTCCCATAGAGCAAAACAGATTCTTAGTGGGGGGAAAATCAAGCTTTACTCCGAACTGAAAGAGGTTTTAAAAAGGGTTAATCAAAGATTTTGATTTGATTTTAAATTACTGATACTTATATAATTATGAAGAAAATTCAAACAATTAATTTTACACATTTTTTTATGAGATCTAAAAACATGACATCTATAACATGTAAACTATTTATTCATAAAATAAATATAATAAATACTATAAAATGAAATTATATACTACCTGAGAATATTCTGTAGAAAAAATAGCATGGAATATGGTATTACTTTATAAAAAAAATTAAACTAAAAACAAACATTAAAAACTTTTCTAATTAACACAAAATTCTCTAATTAAAATGAAAATGAGCAAAAGAAAAGAATTAGGTCAATATAGTGATAAGCCACATTTTAGCCACTGAGAACAGTTTTACACAAAACTGTTCCTTAGTGTTGTTTTTAGCTAAATACTCCTGAAGTTTCCAGAGTTTCACCAGATAACAGTAAAATGCATAGAAATACCTCATTGTCTACATGGAAATCATTGTTATGCACTACTGAACTATTTTCAAACGTGGCGTATCACATTGCCTACAGATTCTTCATATATATAAAATAAAATTGTACCAATGTATATCTTTTAACTGAACATTTCTCTTGCTAATATGATCTGGTTCCCTTTTACTATTTGTAGCTATTCCACCATAATCATAACCTATAAAATAAAACAACGAAAGTAAGTGAAATATTAATTATTTATTACATTCATGTGAACAATTAGATAAAAGAGATAAATATACCATCATCGGGGTGTTTTACATTAGTAAAGCAACCATCTGCCGACATATACAATAGAAGTACTCCATTAGGAGGGAGTTCCTTGAATCCAGAACTAAGAAAAACTATAAGTTGGCTGATGTTTGGTTTATACAGTAGATACTTGTGAGGATTTTCTCGCTTGGCAGGCCTTTGATCTCCATTATCTTGAGTCTGTAATGAAAGAGTAACATTGAAAACAGTATCTTCTTTGTAATGTAGAAGATTAAATCATTAAAAAAAAAATTCATTAGCTTTTTTTAATGCTATTTCCTATTGTAGTCAGAAGTTACCTTTTTAAATATTTATTTTTCCATCGATATAAAACTGTAAACTTATACATTTTGATTTTTTTCAATGAAAGTCTACTCTTAGATTATAAATGTGATTTTCTTTTGACAAAAAAATTTAAATATAATACAGAGCTTGCTATCTGGAAACTACAACATCAGAAAATAGAAAAAGTCCTGAAATTTAATTTTTTGCAAAAATATTCCTTTTCTCTACTTTTTTCCTAAAGCTACATTTAAATCCACTGAGATTTTAAGGTCTTCTAGTTTCTGTTAAGGTTTATAAACCTAGTTTATTTTTTGGCAATTCAAACAATAAAAAAGAGTTTTAAAGAATGTGTCCCACAATTCTGTTAAAAAGTTGGTTGTCACCAACTTTTTAACTGACCAACTTTTAAACGTTCACAAATATGAGTGGATCATAACACAATTAGAAAAGGAATTTTTAAATAATTACAAATGGTATTCTCCCAGGAGCAGGAGGAGCATCAAACAGCTGAGTAGCTTCTTCTTGAGGTTCTCTTTCTAAAGTTTGCAACATACGAAACATATCTAAAGTAAGTTCACTAAATTTGACCTAAAAAATTAAAAATAACAATAATTAGAATTTAACTAAAGTTGAAATTTTAATGCAATATGTAATTGATAAACTGAATTTGATGCTATAAGGTTTTAATGGTTTTTTAAATATATAATCATCAGACTGAATTAGGTGTTATGAAAAATTAATTTAAAAGTTTACAATTATGGCTAGTTTTAAATATAGAGGGACGACATCATCAACCATAATAAAATTAAATGTTTGAAAACAAGTTATGCAAGCTGCAATGCTTTAATATAAGTCGTTAATTGAATGTTACATAGTTGATAAAGTGAAAATTTTAATCTCAATATAAAAATGAAACTAGTGAATAAATAAAAATGAAATTAATCAATTTATAATGAATATCTTTAAAAAACATACTTATATAACATTTATTGCAAAACAAAATAGATTTTATTCTCTATAAAGCTTCATTAATCATTCCTCATTGAAAAATAATTTTAAAAAAATCAAAATTTTATTTTATTAAATAATTTATTACCTAATATTCAATAAAGCAGCTTAAGATTAAATGAAAGTTAAAAGATCCTAAGATTAACATCCAGAAGCAAAACAGACAATTAGATTTTTAAACATGGCTCAATTTAAATTAAAAAACAAATTTAAAAACTCTCTAAATATTGCAAAAAAATCACAATCTGAAAAGGGTTACACTGGTTTTGTAGGGGCAAAAAGAAGAATATCTCATATAATGAATTAATTCTAACTAACTAGAAAAAAAATTATTTTTTCATTATAGTTAAAAACGTAGACTTAAACAATAGTAAAAATATTTAAACTATTAATTTTTAATGTATTACTATTAATTTTTAAGTGCATTGATAATTACGATGGAAGGGTTTCTGGAATAGGAGATAGTTATAAATAATATAAACTGTATAAAAATTTTGATTATGAATTATGTGAAAGGGTATGCAGTAGAGAGAGGTGCATACAATAATCCTAGACCATTCAAAATCCTAGACCATTTCACTGTCTAACCTGATCACAGCAATTTCCCATTATAAGTATCTCTTGAAGCGTCAAATGATTGGTGGCCAATTTTTCCATGGGTGGACTATTTAAAGGATTTAAGCGATGAGAGAGCACAACTGGTGCCGAGTTGACATCCACAATATTGACAAGATTGTCAGCCTGTAACAAACAGAAAAATATTTTATTTAAACCAAGGTTAAACAAATCAAAAAAAAAATTTTTAAATCTGAAAAGATGAATTTTTAAACGGAATTAAAAACAAATTTTTAATGAGAATTATTGAATTATTCAAAAGTTATTACATATAGATTAATTTGAGAAACATAATTTACACACATTCAAATTTAATTGTAAATAATTATATTTTTAACATAAAGCAGAAAAGACAAATGAATTTTGTTAAATAATAATTTCAATGTATACTACTATAATAGAATTTTTCCCATTACCTCATGTAGCAAGCATTTTAGAGTGAAAAGATGCATAAAACAAGACTTATTTTCTAGTAAAAAATATTTCTGTTTGCTTAAATTTCTCTAATTTTTGAATATACATAGCTACTAGCAATGTATTGATTTTTCATTATCTTTATGATCTATTTATATTATCAGCAATAGGGCATTAAATTCAGGCTTAAACCAATGGAAATACTTCAGACTGCAAGGTGCTCCTTAAAAACATGAATAAAATATTTTATTCTTTTAATTAATTTGCAACTTCTGAATTATTAGAAGCTAAGCCACTGCAGGTTACAACACTGAGAATAAAATTCTAATTTTTAATTTACCAACACTTTTTTTTTCTTCTTTTTTAACATAAAAGAAAATTAGTTTTATATAAAAATATCAGAATTAATAATAATAATAATGAATATTTCAAAAGATCAAATATAAATTAAACAGTCAAATTCAAATAAATGAGGCTCATACAATGTATAACACACAATTCTTCCTAATTATAACAAATACAAATTTCAAAAGTTTCAATAGATAAACTAAAAACTTTTAAAAGGTGACAAACCTCAATAAATGACTTAATTTCTCCAAGAACTAAAGACCATTCTAGCTGATCTTCAGGCTCATAGGTTGATGTATAGTCATCAATTTGCTTAGCTAGCTCCTGAAAAAAATAAGAAGAAACATAACTATAAGCAAAATAGAAAAATTGTTTTTAAAAAATTCATTTCGATTTAAATTAATGATAAATGCATTACATATAATATCCACTAAGATTTCTGTTGTTTCTTAAGACACTTGGACAAGCCAAACACGTCAGCCATTGGCTTTGTGAATTAAATCAGGAAGGTGGGCCTTTCGGTTGAGAAGAGAGCACTGCAAGGGTGAAAGCATGTCTTAGCTCAGAACCTAGCAGATAGATGGCAGCACCACTCATTCGTGTGAGGCCACTTTCACAATTTTGACATATATCTGAAGGAGAAGGAAATTTTCTCCAGGTCTCTGTACTCAGTAGGTGTTAGCAGAGCCGAAGATCAAACCCCTGTCCCGTCGGATCAGAGTACGATTCTCTAACCACTAGGCTACACAGCCCTTAAATTTTCATTCTTTTTTTTTTTCAAATTAATTCTACTAATAAAAACTAAAACAAATTAGTAATAAACTAAATTAAAATATTAGAAAAAAAATTTTTAAACAGTAAATGAAACTGAAAAATTAACATTTACTTCATAAATGATTAGATTTATTTCATAAAGATTTCATTATATAACTTCACAAGATTTTATTCATTAGATTTACTTCATAATTCATACAACATTTTCAGTTATTTCCTTGGATACCTACTCTCACCAACTCCCGTACTAATTTCATCTTCTTCAACAGCAAACAGACAACAATAAATCTGGCGTAATAACGCAGCTTCTTAACCATCAAATCAGACCTAAAAATTTATAATTTTAAACGTCATTCATAAAAAATACCAGAAACTTTGCTGAATATTATTTCAAATAAATAGAAAGTATACACAGCCTTTACATTAAATAATAATATTATAACAAAAATTGAACCATTATTTTCAATTAAATAATATTTTTATTTTAATGAAAGAGGGGAGAATAAATACTGCTAATATTATTTATTATAATAACATATTATAATAACAAAAGATACTAAATATTATTTATTATAACTTAAAAATTTAATAAGAAATTTAGAATCTGTGATGTTTTTATGTTATTTTACAACCAGAACAAAGATAACCCAACTTGTTTTGGATATCTTTGGTTGTGATGATTAACATTCTATTACTAAACTAAAAGTTGATATTTTTATTTTAAACTTTCAAAAAAAAAAAAATTATTTAAATAAATATAACATTTTTTAGATTATATGTAAGCATGCTAACCCATTTTACAAACGTTCAAAAAAGATGCAATTTTAAGATTTGTCTTCTTCTTCCTCTTAGGCACTACAGCCGGTTACTGGCTAAGGCCGTCTCAGTCAGTTTACCCCATCTCAATCTATTTGATGCTACATTTCTCCATTTATTAACACCCAAGTCTTTTAACCACTTCTCTGCTCTGTCTAACCATCTCGGTCTAGGTCTTCATATTTTTCTTTTTCTCTCTGGTGTTTGGAAGATTACATTTTAACAGGATTTCCATCTCTATATCAAAATACATATCCTAGCCACCTTATATGAGAAACTTTGATTATTTTTACTTTCTTAGGTTCTTTGTATTTTGATTGTAGTTCGTGGTTGTAACGAATTCTTCGGGTCCTCTTACTACACCAAAAAATTTTCTTAATATTTTTCTCTCAAAAGTCATCAGCTTCTCTTCGTCTGTTTTGTTAATTGCCCAGCATTCACTGCCATATAAAACTATTGGTCTCACTAGTGACTTACACAACTGTATTTTCGTTTCACAACTTATGTATTTAGCTTTGAACTGGTCTCTCAATCCATGATAACATCTATTAGAAATGTTGATTCTATTTTGGATTTCAACTTTCATATCATTATTATTGTTTACTATTGTACCTAAATATTTAAAGTAAGCCACTTGTTCAAACTCATATTCATTAAATTTTAGTGGTTGTAGATTTGTGATATTGCTTGTTATTGTTTGAATTAAGAATTTTATTTAGAATTTTTAACATTTTGTTATTTGTATCAATCAAGTTTATTATTGTTTGAATTAAGAATTTTATTTAGAATTTTCAACATTGGTATCAATCAGAAAATTCCAGGAGAATCGAGACGAATATGAATAACCCAGTATTTCTAATTTTTCATATTCAAATTAAAAAGAGTAGAATGTTTATACTTTAATCAGACATAAAAGATACTTACCTTTCTTCTTTACTAGCTTTGCTATAATAGCCCCTGGCTCTTATAGCAGCATAAAAAGAAAAAGTCTCATTCAGATAATTAGTTTCACTAGTTCTTAGGCTAGAAAAGAAAAAACAACACTTGAATTTTAATGGCTACTAAGACATTTATAAAACATTTAATCTATGTTTCAAAAATTTTTAACCTTAAAAAATTTGATAAATTGTTTTACTTTCAAAAAAGACATTTTATCTAATTACTTCAGAAATTTTATAAATAATATTTATATTGTAAATTAATTACTTTACATTTAAAAAAGAAATTGTATGTAGTCCAGACTCACTAGTAATGATAGTATAGTTGTCCAATTTTTGATGCAATTTCCCCTATTTGCCATCTTTTTAACTGATACTTATTATCCAGTACTTGTCTGAAATGAAATAATTAGAAGAAACATTAATATATATATATGGGTCATTCTTACAAAAACAGTCATTTTCATGTCCCCAGTATATTTTATGTTTGTTTTACAGCTTACGAAAAAAAAAATCAGGGAAAGTTTCCTTTGGAATGCAAGCTAACAAAAGAATAAAAATAAAATTATCAATTTTTATTTTTTATTTATTTTAGGTAATTAAAATATACAAATATGTCATTCCCTCACTTGTCCCCACTGCTGATTTAAAAAAAGAAAAAAATTGTTTCTGAAATAAAATTTTTGTTTTTACAAATTCGTGTTTTTTATTTCAGATTACTGAAATATAGAATTCAGAAAATCAATATTAAATTTAATTTCTGATAAAAATATTAACACAGNAAATAAGAATAATAATAAATAATAAAAAAATGGAAACCATAGGAACCATGCAATTAGGCACATTTTTGGTGACTTTTTGCTCCCCTTATCAGAAATGTAAACTAATTGCAACCCTACCTTTCCTAAGCATTTAGATTTCTCTTTTTGGCAGATTCAAATTATTTTGCAATTTTACAATACTTTTTTTATTAGGGTACTTATCTTAAGTAGTGTTGCTTATATTCCCTTTTTTGCTTGTCAGCAAAACTAAGCAACTCAACCCCTTAATTTTTGAGTGCTTAATATTTGAACAACTCCATATAATAAAGTCAATGGAGGATCTATTTAGCTTAAAACTTAAAGATAAATATTTAAATGGCACTTCACAAAAAAAAATCTTAAGAAAATAGAAAATACTGCAATTATCACAGATATGTGTGTTACAGTAAAAGCTTGAAGTCTGGTAAATCACAGGTATTACCAGTAAACCTTACTTTTACCAAAATGGCATTGGTAAATCCTAGATTTCACCAATAAAACCAAAATAATATTTACAATAATGCATATATTTACAATATATTTACAATAATATTTACATAATGCAATATAATATTTATTAATAATGCATAATAACCAAAATGGCTGGGTAAAAGTCTGAATTTAAAGTATGATTTAATATCATTCCATTTCTGCCTTTTACCAAGCATTTGCGGTAAAACCTAGGAATTGCCAAGTCACTTTGGTAAATTCTAAGTATTGATGGTAAAACTTTACCAGACTTCAACCATTTATAGTATCAAACATATATAAATATACATACAGATAAAAAAAAATCTTTTAATAAAAATAATAAGAAATAACGATGTTACACCATATATTTCCATTTTCATGTACAGAAAAATAATTCAACTCATGTAATTTCTTCACAGACTAATTACTAATGCATATTATCAACAATTCGAGAATAATTTTAAAATAAAAACTATTTTCGAAACATAGCATTCAAATAGACAAACATATGTCAAATTTTCAATTATAAAATTTTTTAACTAATCCTATCACTACATCTCCACTTCCACGTAAAAATTATAGAAGTCATAAATCTATTTAATATATAATTCAAAAAAAAATTAATTATTCTTCTTTTTTTCTTCCTTTTTTAAAGATACTAAATTTCTCAACAGACTAGCAGCAATAACAAAAAATAAATTGTCACATCTAGAGGAGCAAATGAAAGAAAGATTCAGACCTAGAGACCTTAGAAATGAATATTGCTTCAATTTTATCAAACAATAATAAAGATTCAAGTGCTTACTATAGTAAATATATCGTGAACTAAATTGCAAATATTAAAAAATTAATTTTAAAGAACTCGAGTGAAAATCGTGATTTTTTTATTGAAGCCAGAGCATACATCTGTTCTGACTAAATATTTAAATAATAGAGAAATAACTAAAATATAATAAATACTTAGTTCACAAAACAAAAGTTGATTGTTTAAAAACTATTAATTTACCTTAATCCATTAAATAGTTGCTTCGATTTTTCCAATAAATGGCAAAATTCATGAACAATTTTTCGTTCCTGTTCTTCGGCTTCATTCATGATCGCCATCCTCCGCGTTGCATGTTGGGAAATATCTTCTAAGTGAGAAGTCGATCGTTTAGTTAAATCAAGATTGGAAAATCGGTAAGATAAATTGCTATTACTTTTATGCATGTACTACTAAGGTCAAACTTATCGGAAATATTTAGGTCCACTGCTTTTCTATGTCTAAATAAAAGTAAATAATATTCTACACCAGATGCTTGACTAAATACACCTGAGGGGTCGACACGTTTATCGACCGGCTAAACAACATCCCGCGGATCTGAAAATAACATGCGGGAAAAATCAATCCCGTTACCGGTGTAACTAGCGACGAGAGTAGAAAATAAATATTCACTTGGCTCTCAAAAAAAGCCTGAAAAGGACATCATTTCATCACTTGCTTGTAAAATTTTTAAACTGTTTAAATGTTTTTGATTAAAAGTAGGTTTATGTGAAAAATTAAAATGGAAGTTAAGGGTAACAAAATCTACCTTGCTATTAATAACTAAAAAAATATACCTATATACTTTCTATAAAAAAAATTTTTTTAAAAGACTTGACTAAGGGATGTACAAATTTTTATATAAGGGATATACAAATTAATATAAATTTTTATGAAATGTAATGTCAATTTATAAAGAATAAAATATCACATTTCTATTTGATATTAGGAAAACCAAACCAAGAAAATAAATTATTTTGCTTGTTTATTAAAATATACTTATTTATAATTCCAACTATAGATTTAAATATCTGTGTTATTTATTTTGTTAAAAAGTTATTGCAAACATTAAATTAAGTATTAAATTCATACGTTCAGGTTTTCTTGCAATTTATTATGATTTATTGCAAATATAAATTAATTAATGTCCCTTTTCTAAAAAACATGTCTTGTTCTCCTTGTTTTCAAATTTCTATCCTAATTGATTTTACGTTTTTAAATTTTGTATCTGATATTAAATGTGCATTAATAATACTAATTCTAGATTTACATATCTACTTCTAACCAACATGTCTGCAGAACAAGGTATTCCAGCAATTGCTTTAGATGCAGTTCTTAAAAAATCTTCTGCTTTGCCTAAAAATAAAGTACCTGTAAAGGGATATGACTTCAATGATGGTGTTGACTATCATGCTCTTCTGCAATCATATAAAACTTCAGGATTTCAGGCAACAAACTTTGGTTTAGCTGTTGAAGAAATAAATAAAATGGTAAGTTTTACTGGCATATTTAAAATGCTGCACTTGCAAATAAAATTAGATAATTCCAATACTAATTTATTTCAAAGTATCATAAACTCTTCAACATCTTAAATAGTCTTAATAAAAAAAAATATTGTTGAGGCTATTAACAGAATATAGTAATTTTATGTTTCTAAGTTTAAATTTATACAATTTTGCATGCTTAATCTAGGATTCCCATGGGTTTGGAAAAACCTGAGATTGTCAGTAAATTTAATTTTCTTCAAAAAGCATTAATCACTAAGTAATCACTAGACATATAATAATTTTTTTTAACAATAAAGCTTCCTGCAATTAGGTTAATTTTGGTTCTTAATTAGAAATAAGTTATTTGATGACAGGTATGAGTTTTAAAACTTTATTTAATTTTTAATTTTTTCTGGTCTCGTGCAATATAATGTTTGTATCTACAATTCAAATTCTTTTTTAAGTTTACATTTATTAGCAGTTGTTTAGATCTAAGAGAAACAATTATTAATCATTGAAATTTATCCTAATATTGATAAATTTTTGAATATGAATTTTAAAAATAAAAAAAAATTCATACTACTTTGGATTTTTATATTTTAGTACAAGTATAATTTTGCTAATCTAGCAGTTTTTTTAGTAACAATATGACTGTTTTTTATAACTAAAAAACAACAAAATATAATTTTGTTTGTAATTAGAGCATCAGAAATAATATATAAAAGGGACGCCAGTGTCCCATCTACATCAAAGGGTTAATGATATGAAGGCATAATACATATTTTGTATACAAACTATAAAGAAAAATGTGAAGTTGAGTCATTGTTGTTCTCTAAATATTATTTACCCTATTAAGTAATATTCTTAACTTATCATACTGAATATTTCTACTTAGAAAAATCAAACTAAATTCTGAAATTTCAGGTTGAGTTTTGTCTCGAATACCATTATAATTCTTTTATTTGTAACAATCCTAAAAAAGGATTGATTATGTCGTCCTCATTGATAAGATTTTCTTAGAAAATAAATGTGTGTGCTGAAAGAATATAAAGTACCAGGACCGGAGGTTATTGATGGAATCAGCAAATCGAGGTTGTTGTAAGCAGTCTGACTGGTGCGCTGCCTTGTTTTTTTTTCGTTTGATTTTGGCAACTTTTTATATTTAATTTTATAGAAAATATATCAATAAAAGTGTTCTTTTTTTTTCGTCTAAGTTTGTCTTATGTTATAATCTTTATTAAAATATTTCTTTTTCTCAAAATGATCTGTTTATTTACAATTGCAATTTAATTTCAACATGTGCAACAACCTGATTTATAAATCAAACTCTTTGTAAGTATTGATGCAGATTTGTGTCCAAAAATATAAGCAATAATTAGATTCTTTTATAAGAAAATCAAACTCTACGCTTTAAACTTTAAGGTAAGATTTAAAATGTATAGATTATTCTTAAATTTATTAAAAAAATTTATTTCATTGAATTAATAGAATCTCCCAATTATCCAATTATTAAGTGTCGCTTACTTAAGAAGAAAAATGAAACATTAAATTGTTTCTATAATTTTTTTTTTAAATTTTGATCATATTTTATAAAGTTCAGGTGTAATAAATTAAAGTTAAACATATTTAATAACTAATAGTGATTGATAATTGATGCTAATAAGTTCGGTGTTGTGCTTCTTTTTTATAAATATTGCACATTTATAATATTAATAACACAATGAAAATGTCTAATGAACAAAAAGAAATGCCATATCAATATTTGCCAAATTTCTATTTTGTCTTAATATTTTAATAGTCTCTTATTAGTGGAGTAAAAAGATGCTTTTAAACATAAAAAAAAAAGTTCAGCTAGCATTCTCTCTTTGAATGTCTATAGTAAGTATGTTCTACGGAACTTTGTAAAAATATATTTCATTTGTTTTAAAACATCTATTTTCTCTTTTCATTCAAAAAAAGTTATTTAATTTTTTTGAAGAATAAGAGCTTAATTTGTTTATATTTTAAGTAAATAATTTATTAAAATGTATATAAGATTAATAAAGAGAAAATCTTAATTTATATTTTATTAGATTTCTTGTAGAAATGAGCCATTTACCGATGAAGATGTTTTAGAGACTGACCCTTTTATTAAGAGGAGGACCAATTGCTCAATATTTCTCGGTTATACTTCAAATATGGCATCAGCTGGAGTTAGGGACACCATTCGATATTTAGTTCAACATAAACTGGTAAGCAGTGTAATAATTTATTATTTAAAAGGACACAATATTTTAACTGCATTTTTCCAACAGTTTGCAGCACTTTTTTAACTGGAATACATAACATTTTAGTGTAAGTCTTTGATTAAATGTTTAAAAAATAATCATAAAAATATTGATAATTTACTTTGCTTTTAATTATTTTTCAAAATAAAGCTTAAGAATAAGAAAATGTGTAATTGACTCCATAGAAAATATTCTGTGAACATTTAACTGAGTTTGTATGATTTGGCTAATTTCTCCTATTTTTCAGGCTTTTTTTTTTGCATTTAATTACTTAATAAAATTTTTCTGAAAAAATAATGGGAGACAAAAATGTGCTGTGATATGATGAATAGCAATATGCTAAACTTTTTATCATTTTCAAGTTAAATTCTATTAATTTTAGGAATAAAATGTGTTTTCATTAAATTTCCTATTTCGTTAAAAAGAAATTCTGAAAAGTTTCCTTAAAAACAAGACAATTTTTACACTACAAAATTAAAATATTTTCTTATAAGATCACCATTTAATTTAAATTCATCATTCAATGTTTTGATAAGATTTGTCACTTTAAAATAATCCTTTTAAATGTAAGCATCTTATTTGTTTTTCTCTTTTAATGTCATAGATAATTTGTTATATTTTTCAGATTGATTGTATAGTAACATCCGCAGGAGGTGTAGAAGAAGACCTTATCAAATGTTTAGCTCCCACTATACTAGGAGACTTTTCTTTAGATGGTGCTGAACTGAGGTATTATCATTGTAGTAAATGTTAACTGTAATCTGTTAAAAGAATAATTTATAAAAATGTATTAGAACTCTTCTGATCTGATATTCTGAATTTTATAAATGTGATGGCTAATATGTGTGATTTGTTATGATAGAATGACTTAAATAAAACTCATATAGTAAAGTGTAATAAATGATTCACATTTTTTTTAATTTTGTGAAACCATATTTTGCTTTAATAGTTATGACAAAGAAAAAGTAATCATTAAAACTTCTGATAAGCAAAAAAAAAAAAAAAAANAGATAAAAAAAAAAAAAAAAAAAAATGCTCACGTAAGGTATGGCAAAATGAGCAGACTAAACACCTTTATGTCTTGATCTTTGCCTCACAATCATGTGAGTGAAGATTGTGGCTATATTATGGCTAACAGTGATCCGGAAGTTTAAGAGATCAAAGGTCCAGAAATTTCAAAAAATCATTGATCACAGAAGTTTCAAAAATCAAATTTTCAAAGGTGAAACTTAAAAACACAGTTTATTTTATTTGTTTGTAAGAGCCAAAGAGATACTTTATAAGCTTATATTCATGATTAATATTCATTTTTTATCAGTAAATAGTTGTTATAATCACCAATAGTATCTNTGGTATAGGTATATGTAAAATTTTAAATATATTTTAAGTAAACTAAGAAATATTGAGAAAAAAGAAGAAAAAAAAAACCTTGTTTAAATTTTTTTCTAATTTTTCAATGTAAACTGTTTTTTTTTTTTTTTTTTTTTTACTCAAGAAATTTTCCGGAATTTTGACTTGGGTTCACAAATACCCCTGCAGTATGTACTGCCATTGATCAAATTTTAACACATTGTCATACACTAAATTTGGCAATCCTGCTCAGAAACACATTTTTTTTTCATATTGCTTATGATTGCCATATGAAATTGAGCGTCAGTCGGATGTTCAAAAGTGAAAATTGTTACAATTTTTCATGAAAACTATTCCTGTCATTTTCTCATTCATCACAACATTTTTTCTCTTCTCACAGCAATCAGTGTCATGTTGCATCTTTTTTTTCCTGTTGTATTCCTGAATAATTATCAACTAAATGCATCAGTACATTTTGTACTAATGATGTTCCTTCTTTATTTATCAAAATGTGCAGGATAACTGTAGTTATCATTAGCCTACATGTCCCCACAAATGGGATGGCTATTGTCGTTATTTGTGGCAACATATGAAAAAATGTTTGAAATTATGCCAGTAAATCAATTTCTGTTAACTTGTCATGCATTTTTAGATTTGTCATTAAAAAGTAACCAAGTACTGAGTAAAAATAAAAATTAATTTTTTTATTTATATCAGTTTCTTATTGAACTGTTATAGTAATATAATTTTTTTTTCTTCCTAGAGACAAAGGACTTAATCGTATAGGGAATTTATTAGTTCCCAATGAAAACTACTGTTTATTTGAGAATTGGGTGATACCTATTTTAGATGAATGCCTGGAGGAACAACATTCAAAGGTAATGCTACTGCATTATTTGCTGATCAATTTTTTTCCCTATCTGGTTAGAGATTTGTTACTAAACCTTTACAAAACATCTTCTTTTTTTTCTTTTTTTTTTTTTAAAGTTCAAAATATACCATTTATTTCATTTTAAAATAAATAATATATCTTATATCTCTTTGAAGTTTATCTCATTTGCCTTCTATAATTTGAAAGTTTTGAAATGTTTATAGTGTTTTTCACATTGTAAATTATAGCAATATGTAAGACTTTGATTTTGCCTTATACACACTGGGATGAAATATTTTATGTATTTAATATATCAAATTATTAAATGCATAAAATTTATTTATATTATAAAATTACCAGATTATGATGACTTATAAAAGATAAAGCATAAAAAGGGGGATTAAGTTTGTAATTTAGTTAAAATTTGTAATTAACAGTTTATGTTTTATGCTAATATTATGATTCATAATTAATTACTTTTCATGATAATTAATTATTTTAAAGCTTTCTTTAAATTTCTATCGAGCAAAAGCATTTCTTCATGACTAAATTCATTTCTACAATACTTCTAAAAAGAATAATTGTTTGCACTTTTAAAAATTTTTATTCATTAATCCATATGTTATTTCTCTATGCATAGGATATGTTATTTCTCTATACTCATATATATATCTGAATGTATGATATATATTGAAAAGAGTGAAGAAAACATAACTTTTAAATTTTTAAACAAATTGTTTTTTTGTTTATTTGTCATTTTCTTAAGGAAAAAAAAATACTTATGAAGAATTACCTATATATACTTAAAGTACAATTCTTATATAAGATCTAGTGATCTGATTATTTAAATTTTTATATAAAAGTAAAATAAAAGATGGGGTTTTAAAAACTATAGAAATAGATACCTCACGGAGATAATTTATAAATTCAACTAATCCAACTTTAAAATGTTAATTAAATTTACTTAGTTTTAAATTCTTGAATGGATCTTTGAATTAATTTTACTTAATTTGCATATGTTTAATTCAATTCATAAATGTTAATAATAAGCTCTTTTTCTTTGTTGAATGTTATTCTTAAATTAATATCTTGTAGTCTTTAAAAAAGCCATTTAAATTTGTTTAATCTTCTTTTCTTTCACCAAGCTGAAACCTCACATCAAGACCAGTTTTGAAAGCTGTTTAAAGAAATATTAATCTCAGTTGCAACATGATTATATTTGGGTATGACTCTTTTGGTATTTGATAGGTCATACATGATTGCAATTAAAAAGTCTATTTTTTATTAAAGCTAATTATTGTATATTTATTATAATCACAAAACATTTTAATTTATATATTTCTTTCCATACATGTTTGTCCAATTATTAATTTAAATAATGCAGTTCTTTATTATGTGAGTAATAACTAAAATTTTGATGAGTTTTGAAAAAAAGTTTCAAACAAAAATTTGAATTTCTAAAATTTAAAAAGTATTCTATGTCTTTAAATTAATTTCTAGAATTTGTTGAAAGTCATGTTTGATAATGTTCTATCTGTATAGCTGGCATTTTTTTATTTTTTTTATGAGCTATATGCATAACAGTAAGGTGAACTGAAAAAAAAATTTTATTTTCAAATTTTTATTACGTAATAACAAGAAAAAGTTGTCATCAGGGGTGGCAGAAAAAATAAAGTCATTTGGTTATATATTATGAAGAAAAAAAACTAAACTCAGTGGCGCTACAGCCCATCGAGGACCAAGGCCTACTGTACCCATCTCAGTTTTCCTAACCATTGGGCTCTGAGGTGCAAGAGCAGATGTTCCGACTAGGTGGTCAGCCCAACGCGGAACCCCGAGTGTTAGTTCCCAAGCATGCATATTTTTATCGACCCACTGAAGGGATGAAAGGTATATATTATAAGCCTTTCATAGTAGTATATATTATGAGCCAAACTTAAAGTCTTAAAAAAAATTCTCTTTATTTTAAAGCTTTAAAATAAAAATATTGTCAAAAGTGTTTTATTTTTTAATGCATTTAATGTTTTCTTCTTTCTTGTTAGATTTTTATTTTATTGTTCTACCTAAAATGTTAAGTGTTTACAAGAAAATCTTGAAAATTAGTATTTTATATTTAAAAAATAATAATAACTTAGTAATATGTTCAACTTATGTTATCTATTTCTTATACCTATTTTCATTTTTGGTATTCATAGAATAATATTTGGTCTCCTTCAAAAATTATTACAAGACTTGGCCAGAAAATAGGCAACACTGAATCTATATGCTATTGGGCAGCAAAGGTAAATAACTTTTAGATATCTTATACATAAAAATATTTTTGTTTTAATTAAAATTTGTTATAGTTTTTTGTTTGAAATCAGAATGCTTACTTTTTGCTAAAAAGTAAATTAATGGTCCTTTTTCTTTTGAAAATATTTTTTTTACGTTTAAAATAGCGTTCACAATATCCTCATAAATTAAGCAGCAAATTATTTTCTTGTTACCATTCTTTTGTGAAAGCAAAAAATAAGATGTAAAAATATTTTTAATATTTTTGAAAAACCTTGTAATCTTGATAAATTGAGGCGATATTGTTTCATGAATAATCATCTTTTTCCTTATTTCTGACTCTGAATATAATCTACTTTACTTATTCTGAGAATAACAGTGGTTGAACATTGTTATCCTCCTGACCAATATTCATTCAAGCCAATGTAGTGAAAGCAAAATGTAATGTGTTTATTTCTCATATCAATGTTGTATATTGATACATACACATACCTGCAAACTTTCACTCTTTTTGAGAATGGATTTTCCAAGTTGTGGTAAAAAAAATTACCAAAAAACAATCATACTCTGAAATACATTTATATTTTAGCCGGGTTTAAATTGCCTATCTTAAAGACTATTATGCTTTTATATATTTGTTTCAATTATTTATATGTAGTGGTGGTCAAACTCATTTATAATTTATTATAATTCAAGAAGTTTAATGGAATAACATGAGTCTTGCTATTACTTTAAATATGAAAATAAAATCTTCCAGGAAAACTGAAAAAAAGAGTTGGCAGCTATGCATAAAGTATAAAAATATAAATGTATCAAGCCATATATACATATACATGTATCAATATGTATGAAGTTCATGGAATGCATATGCTTGACCTGATACATATATATATATACATACCTGATACATATTAAGGTATCAAGTCAATGTAGTAGAAGCAGAATTAATATGTTAATTTTTCATATTAATTTCAATGATTTTATAAAATATATTTAACATGCTTTATGTCTAGGTTTAGACTATGAATAAATATTTCATTAAAAATTATCTTAATGAAATAATTTCAAATTAGTGTTATCTTCAGGGTTCCCGCGGCCTTGAAAAAGCCTTGAAAAGTACTTGAATTTCATTTTGATTTTCAAGGGCCCCTAGAAGTACTTGAAAATGATATTAAATCCTTGAAAATTTCGAAATGACCCTGAAAAGTATCGAAAACTCAGGAAAACAGCCCTATTTCCAGTATTTCTATGTTTAACTTTTTGACACGCGTAAGTGTGAGAGAATGACTTCCCCGTCTTTCAGATGATGACACGTACTGTTTGATTTTAGGATTTTATGTATGTTTGGCTGATTTTAGGAATTTTAAATATTGGGAACTGCTCCAGATTCTGACAAAATCTCGATTCTTATTCAGGCGATTTTAATATCAATCATCGATCTTCGTATTAGACTTATTTAAAAATTATGTGTTGCAGGGATGAAAGACTTCCACGAAAAAGCGGAAATCCGCTTTTTTTCAACAATTTTGAAAATTTCCGACCATGTTCCAAAAACTAAAATTTTTGGGAAGTCCTATTGGAGAAACCCAAGCCGCCCGAACGATAGTCGGATTACCGCGACTTCTGCTATAGAGTGGAAAGGAGTCGAAGCGTTTCGTTACGAGCGCCGATATTTAATTTTTTTTTTTGGGCTGATTTTTGGAATTTTAAATATTAGGAACTGCGCCGGAATTTGCTAAACTCGCGATTTTTAATCAAACGATTTTAATATCAATCATCGATTTTTGTATTTAACTGATTTAAAACTTACGTGTTGCAATTTTTTTACGCGATTTAAAAATCGTACTAGCAATTCCTATTCACTCAATTTCAAAATCCAATATCGCGATTTGTATTTAAGCGTTTTTAAAACCCAATATCGCGATTTNTTTTCATTAGTAAGTAATTTAATAGTCGCGCCTTCCTATAATTGCTTAATTTTTTTTTAATATATTAGTGGTCAAAATTTTAAAATTATATTTAAGAAAAATTTAAAGTTAACTGTCTAAATGCTTCTGCCACTTTAAATATTGAATAAAAATCTCCCAGCATAGTTAAAAGTTGCTTTTATAAATCTCAGTATCATATAGAGCACTCCCCCCCCCCTCCTCCTAGTGACCTGCGTTGTAAAAGTTCAGCGCTTTTTTTATTTTTGTCCACTTTAATGCCTGGTGTTGCAATTCGTTTTCGCCTGATTCAAAAATCGTACTCGCAATTCCCATTAAAGCAATTTAAAAATCTAATATCGCGATTTGTACTTAAGCGTTTTTTTAGCGCAATTAGTTTTTCCGCGAGTTTAAAATCGAATGTCGCTATTCGTATTCACGCATTTTGCGATATCAAACATCGATTTTCGTATTTATACTCGATTTGAAAACTACTCGTTGCAATTCATATTCACGTGACCATGTCAAGTGCGTATGATCGACGCTACTGAAAAAAAGTTAATTCAAGTATGAGTGGTTAATAAAAAAAGTCAGTGACCAAAATTGTTACTAAGAATCTATCAGAAGGTATTGAGGTGAAAGTTGGCAACTGTTTCAATTTAAAGTGGTTGACTGGTAATAAATTTAAAATGATAATCAAGCCGCAACATCCAATAATTGATTAATTTTCTTAAATAGAAAAGTGGTCGAAATTTCAAAATTATATTTAAGAACAATTTAAAATTCATTGACTAAATGCTTCTGCCACTTTAAATATTAAATAAGTCTCCCGGCAGAGTTGTTTTTAAATATCTAATTGATATCACAGTATTATATAGAACATTCCCCCCTACCCCGTCTTCTGCCCGAATCTTTGCTTATTCAGACTTTGTATACCTAGCTTAAAATAAGCCTTAATGCAAAATTCAAACCTGACGTTTTTATGCATCATGAATTTTATTCTCGACTTGATGCCAATCACCCTTGTTTTTTTTATATATATATATATATATATATATGTATATACTTAGATCACTTTCCGAAATCAAGAGAGAGCAATGGAAGTCTTATTTTTCAGTACTGCTATTATCGACTAACTTTTATCGTCAAAACATTTTAGTTTAAAATGTTAAATTTTAGTCTATCTTTAACTAAAATTTAAGTCCTTGAGAATTTTATAATAAGTCTTAAAAAGTCCTTGAAAAGTACTTGAATTTTATTTTTATTGTAGAGCATGAACCCTGTATCTTCCATTCAGCCACTCTTTTAATAACTAGAAAAATTCCGCCTTTTTAGAAAAAGTTCTGCTTTTTGTATTCCTGAAGAAAAAAAATTATACTTCTTCTTACTCATGTAAATAGGATTTAAAATTACATTAACACAATTTATAATTGTATGTCACAATTTAAAATAGAACATTATGATCTGTATTCATAGGATTTTAAACTACACATCATGATTCATTTTTATGTGATTTAAAGATCTGTACATTTAAGTCTCAAATTGAGAATCGGCCCATGGCAGAATCCCAGCGACACGGTGACATTGTCGCAGAAACATTACAAAGTTCTTGCAGAAAGGATTTTTTTTTTTTTTTTTTTTTTTTTTTTTTTTTTTTTTTTTTTTTTTTTTTTTTTTTNTTTTTTTTTTTTTTTTTTTTTTTTGTTTTTTTTTTTTTTTTGAAAAATCGAGAAAAAAAATAATTTCTGCAGAAATTTAAACGTAATATTTGAATCATGCATTTAGATAATCACTTTTTGATGCGCTCAATTTACGCCGATCGTATCTTAAATCGATGTAATATTTCGATTGATTTTCGCGTGGATTTTAAATATCCCGATATATTTCAAACAATATGGAAAAATCAAATCGTGCATTTGAGTATTTACTTTTTAAGGTAATAATTCTATAGAATTTTTGGCAGTTATTGCTATTGATTTCTCCATAATTTTTAAATCTGATATTTTTTGTACGATATTATTTATTACAACAACCTATTCTTGAAATGAAAAACATAGAGGAGTCTGATTCCTGTGATTTCGTCATCGATCTATTTTTCGGCAATTACTACTACGGTTTTCATGATTTCTAATTGTTTTCTTACTGTGGTAATTATTTACAAAATACTAAGAAAATAATTTTTGCATCCCCCCCTCAACAAAATGCTTGAATATCACCCATAATGTTAGAATAAAAAATTATTACATGTTCATTTAAAATAAATTATATGGTCTTTTTTTGTTAACACAGCGCTTTTATTATATTAAATTAGTGCCATATACTTTTGTTATTATTAAAAGTATGTTGCAGAAAGATATTAGTGCTAGAGAGTTTTCTCGCAGGTAGCTTGAAAAAATTGCCACAGGGGAGAGTCGTATACTCAAAAAAAAAAAATTTGAAAAAAATTGTGCATCTATATTTTTTATTAATAATGTTGGATATAGGAAGGCTTCATGCATACACTTTTGTCATTATAATTTATATAAAAAGTAAAGCCGATTTAATTTAAAACATTGTAATATAAATTAGTTACTTTTAAAAGTATTTAAAAATTTATTTTCCTCACATTTTATCCCTTTATTTTGTTATTTAATAATTTAAATGTTTACTGTTCTCAAAATAATTCTGGAGTTTATTATATTTAATTAACATTTTTGTTAGTTAAATTTTTACATTTTGTTCATTCTTTTTGTAAATATCGAAATTTAAGATTTAATTTATTGAAAATGAGAACTTATATGCTGTAATTTTATTTAATGTTAAACATTTTGATTTTTTTTTTTAAATTACAATTTAAAAATATTTCAAACCTTTTTAAAAATAGTACCTGTCATGTACCAAACGAAATTCTCAAGTGAATGTTATTTGTTTGTTACAGCACTAAATTCGAACTGTTTAATTGATGCATTACCTTTTTCTCTATATTTACCAAGCGTTTCTTTAATGGCTGTTTCTTTAATTTAATAAATCAGATTTTCTGAACACACTATAATAAAAACAATTTATTTATAGGCTACATGAGTCTTGGAGCCTTTCATAATTTGAATAACTATTGTATTTACCTTTATTTTATACGTTTTTGTTGTGTTTTACGAAAAGTGTTTCTATTTTATTATTTATTTCATTTCCCAGAATGAAATACCTATATTTTGTCCAGCCTTAACTGATGGGTCACTAGGAGATATGATGTTCTTCCATTCATTCCGAAAGAAACCTGAACTTATTGTAGATATTAATCAAGGTCTGTTATTATTTTATATTAATATTTATTTCATAATATACTAATTGAAAAAAATGGATATAATACAATAAGTTCTCTATAAAAAAAAAGAATTTTGACCTCACGCAAATGCCCTGGAAAGCTTAATAAGAAAGTTTTTGCCGATCTCCCCAGGCTGGGTGTAGGATAAAAAAAATTTAAGTTATATTATAAGATACTCTGATATATAAATGTTTTTAAAGATATATTATAAGTTACTCGAGTATAATAAATCATGACTTTCGGTGCTCTGTTATATTGAACTAGACATGAGTTCAGGCGCTTTTTACCAAAGCATTAAACTATGGCTTAGCCTGAGATTTATTATGCTAGAAAAATTCTGAAATTTACAAAAAAAAAAAAAAAAAAAAAAAAAAAAAAAAAAAAAAAANTATTATTACAGACTTCTTATTTTTGGCTGATGAGATATAATACTTTTTTATACTTAATTATTTAACTTAAGATTAATTCTAAAAAACTTAATTCAGCCAATGCATTTGGTTTCAATCATTTGAATCATTTTATATCATTTGATAAACTCATCATTAAAATGTTTTTTTATTCATAGAAATTAATATTATAAAGCAACAAAGACACAATTGTAAGTGGTATGAAGTAATCAGTAAAGGTTAACAGTTATCTTTCTGGCGCACACTTGCTAAGTTAAGAATATGATTTTTTTGGTTTTCTGTTTTCCTTTTCTCTCTCTCTCTCTTTTTTATAATGAGTGTCCTATGAATTGTGAATACTTAACATAATTGGTTATTATCATTACAAACAAAAACTAGTGTCAGCTTTAGAAGTTCTAAGATTTTCTTAAAGCATTGTACTTTTGCCACCTAAATGATTAAAACTTGTGACCATCTAATTAAAACCTGTATTTTAAACAAAAATGTTTTCAATTTATGAATTACTTAAATTATACAGAATAAATTAATAGGGATTCAGCTATTAATAAAGATCCAGAAACATTGACAACATAAAACAAAAAGTAATTAAAGCTTATTTTTAAGAAATACATATTTGTATGAACATATTGTTAGAGAAGTACTCTGAAAAATTTAGATTTTAGTAGAGGGTGAAAAGCAAAAATTGGGCTCTTCCATAATAGCTAAAATACATTTAATTAATTTATTTTTTGTTCTACATTGCAATGCAATACATATCAAATACAAATACTTGGTAAAATCTGAAAACGATTATATTTAAGTCAACATCTAAAAGAAGTTAATGTGTGTAAGCCTTACAGATGCTAAATGGAATATCCCACTTGTTACAACTGAGATTTGGGGCCCATATACAAAATAAATTTGAAACTAATTAAGGTTCCTGTCTGGGTTAATGCAAGATCAGAGACGTTTGCATGATATGTTTGGGGGCCAGGTTGCACAAAGAATGGAAAATGAACATCCTGCTTAGTTAGCAGAGTATAAAAAGTTATTTTTTATGTAAAGAAAAATGGTTTTATGAGGCCTATACAGTTAGTATACAAGTTGAAATAGTCTTTTTTAAAAAAAAATCTGAACTAGAACTAATAATTGTTTTTTATTTTTGATGATCATCACAATTAGTTAAATAAATTTAATTTACAGATCTCAGGCGAATACATTCTATTGCTCTCAAGGCTGTAAATTCTGGCATGATTATCCTTGGAGGTGGAGTTGTAAAGCATCATATTTGTAACAGTAATCTCATGGTAAGAAAACTATTAAAAATCAAGAGTTAATAGAATGAGTTATTATATATATAATTCTGCAATGCATAAAAATATGAAAAGATCTAGATTTATTCTGTAAATTTTTTGTCTCCTGAAGGCAATAAATTACTAGTGAAAAAGTTACAGTCTATATATAAAGAATTTATTTAAATATTGAGACAACTAACTCTAATTTTATAAATTTTGAGACAGAGTCTTGAAGTCTAATGAATGTTTTTTTTTTTTTCATTTTATGCTGTTGTTTTTTTGTGTTGTTTGACTGCAAAAATAAGCTGGAGATGTACTATTTTTTTAAAATACTAAAAAATACACTGTTTGAACATAAAAGTACAGACAAGTCCATTTTTTAATAAGTGCAAGGAAGAAAAAAACACACTATTTAAATATGACCCAAAACATTCCTCCACCTAAAGCAAAAAAAAAATTGCCTGCATCAATTTCTGTATTTCATATGAGGTAAAAATTAAAAAGCAGTATAATTCAAATCCTTAGAATTTTATGTTTAAATAAGAAAGCAACCAAAAACACTAGTTGATTATTAGAAATACCATCAGTTTTATCCAGCAATTAAACTGGTTATGCTTTCCATCCATCCTCTGTAAGATTCTACAGAGTTTTTTTAGTATTTTCACTTCTTTCTTGATGCCTTTTTTATTTTTTTGTTAGGCACTAATTTTAAACACCTAATTTGTAAACTTTTTCCGATGAATTTTTGACCAGGATTCTAAATATGTTTACAGTGGAATCTCACGTTACAAAATCATTGGATTCCATATTAATACGCTGAGTAGGTTTGGTTAATCCATTCATCATTTTGGATGCAATTTTTTCAGCATGAGCCTTTGTGTTATCTGAAATCATTATATTTGTTTAGTTTGTGCAGAATTTTCCTAGTTTGACTTAAATTATGCAGATTATTATTTTTTTTTTTTAGAAATTAAAACCCCTTATAAATAAGTGTGCTAATTTTTTTTAACTTTCTGATTAATACATCACGAGTTATGGAGCTTTAAACACCTCATATTATTTTATGTACAACCTGCATATGAAAATATTTTGATTTTATAGAGGAATGGAGCAGATTATGCAGTGTTTATAAATACAGCACATGAGTTTGATGGCAGTGATTCTGGTGCTAGACCAGATGAGGCTGTTTCTTGGGGTAAAATAAAAAAGAGTGCCACTCCAGTAAAAGTAAATATTTGTTTCATAAATAAGATATATATGTATGATTTTTTTTTGGCATCATAATTATACATATCCTTTTTTTTTCTATCTTTACAGGTTTATGCTGATGCCACTTTAGTATTTCCATTGATTGTGGCTGAAACTTTTGCTCCTTACGTTCATAACAGAGAAGGTCAAAAATGAGTCAAATGATCATAAAATACATATAAACATTTTAAGTATAAACATTGTATTATACTATAAAAAAAACTAATGTAAAATTAAATAGTGTAATTAAATTGATTATTTTTATTATTTTGGAATTATTTATTTTTATTCCATAATATAAAGTTTCAAGCATACACTACTCACCATCAAAATTTCCATACCAGGAAGGAAATTTGTATGACAGATAAACCATGGTATGATATGCACACAATTAAATTTCCATCACACCTACAGCCTGTATAAAAGCATAGGTGTGAAGCAGTGTTCTCATTCTTAATTTGCTTTTTTTTTGTNTTCTTAATTTTTTTTTTTTTTTTGATAAAGTTGTTGTAACACCTATTGTATATATAAATTTTTTAGTCTTTTTGTTAATATTTCAAAATTTAGGGCAATCCCTCCTAATGCTGGAAATTAATTATACTCAACTTCTAATATAAATTGTAGAAATTCATATTAATTAGCTTATTAAAAACCATAGAGTTGCATAGTTATTTTTGTTAATTAACTGAAAAAATAAGCTTTCTAGAACAAAATGTATTTCAGTAAATGTTTCAAAAATTTTTTGCTACATTATAAGTAGGGCTCATGATGACAATCGTTACCAAATGTTCTACAAATGTCGCTGAAATCATATGCATGGGTGACAAATTTCTCCCATTTAAATATTTTTAGAATTTACAGAATGGTAATTTGCCTCAAATTCCATGCATTCAGAATTTTTTTTTTTTTTTTGCTAATTCGTTCTATACATGGTAAGAAATTTGAAATGCCTGGTATTCAAATAAAATAACAGAAAGTGTCTGGTACAAAAAAATTTTTGTTTAATTTTCAAATTTACATGTTGTACTGCACTTCGTATTGATGTACTGACAGTTTAACTGTTCACAATAATAAAAAAAATTTCTCTTTTAGACTTAACTTTATTTAAAATTTTATAATTTTTAGAAATTTTTATTTATTTATTTGGTTTCAGTATTTTAATCTGTGTGTTGAATCTATATACTAATATTTTAGCTTTTTAGAACTTAATTTTTATAAATACTGATCTTCAATTACTATGAGGTAATAAATTTAATCAGTTTAGGGTGGCAATTAATTATTTTTGATGTGTACCATAACATGAATTATGTTCAGCTCTTTTCTCAAGTTTATCTACCATATTATTTTTTTGGACCACTAAATAAATACCTAGGTGGTCCTATTAGACCACTAAATTTTCGTTGCTGATGTGAATCCTGATTATAAGTTGGTTAAAGTAAACTATGTTTGGTATAATATAAATTCTACACTTTTCCAGTAGACATTTGTGTCCAATTTCCACAACTTGCTCTGAGTTAATGCTTCCATAAAAATAATTACAATTCTTTTTTGCTAGTCAAATCATTTCTTCATGTGTACAATAAATGCAGTCTGCATCTATTTAAAGTTATTACTTTTCACACATTTAAATTTGTTAATCAGGATGAACAGTATTACTAATATGTTTTCACTAATAATTTTTGATAAATTAGCAAGAATATAAAAATATTTTGGTTAGTTATATAATCAATAGAAATCTGCTTTCTTTTATATAGTTTTGGCTTAATAATTATTGTAAATAATATACTTATTATAATACAGGGGTGATTGTGAGCCCAACTCAAAAATCCTAAAAATTTCTTGAGTAAAATCATTGATGCATTTAAAAAATTAATTTCTTTATAAATTTAAGCCATTGATATTTTCAAAACATGAAATTCTAAATAAATTATATGCAGCATAATTTAAATGAGTTATGTATAAGTTTATTTTAATCTCTAATCACATTTATTATTTTACCAGAAAAAATATTTACAAATGAAAAATATGTCAAGTATAAATTCTTGTCCTAATATTTCTAAATAAAATATACAAGAGTTTTTATACATAAATGTAATCGATGATTTCTTAATACTTCTGGACCTTGGATTTCCGGAAAAATCCGGATTTACAATCATCTCTGATATTAACTCCCAAATTGTATCTAAGATCCTTGAATTGTTTACATTTTGATAGTCTGCTTAAAGAAAAGAAAAGTCCGAAATAATATTTTTTTACTGTAAAAAATTGTGTTAATGAATTAAAATTGGTTAGGTGTCTGAAATTTTTTTTTAAAATATAGAGCTATACTTTAGTTAAAATTTGAATTGTTATTTGGAGAAATAATATAGTAAATTTTTCTATAAGAAACGCAAAAAATTTCTAGGTAGATTCATATTTAAAATATTTTTTGTAAAAATACCAAAACAAAAACATATTTTTAGTTATTGATATAATTTAAATAAAATATCAATGCAAATTTTAAATTGGACAGAAAATATACATTTATTTCACCTAATCAAATATCTATAAAACATCTTCTCTTGATTCATTTTGCATGTATTCTAAAGCTTCATTCAATTTTGATGGCTTAATAGCTTCTAATTTTGGTGAAGAAGGAGCAAATTCATCTTTATCAAAAATTTTCTTACATAATGTAATATTATTCAAAATGTTTTCTAATGTCCAGTGTTTTCTAATCAGAGCTATATCTGTTGTAAAATGTCCAAACTGTACTCTCCTCAATCCTGTGCAAACTGCTGAACTTTTCAGATATATTCCTATTTGATGAACTAATTCTGCTAAAAACTCTTCTGTTTCATTAAAACAATGGATATCTAAAATAATAATGTTACTTTAAGAATACACACATTAAGTTTCATTCATTATGCATATTGTTTAATCTTTCTGGCACAGTCTGAGAACAATTATTCTAAAAATATTATAAACTACAAGAAATCAAACTATTTTCCTCAAATGTCAAAAAAAATTTTGCAACCACTATTCTTAAACGAACATACACACACTTACTACTAGAGCAAAGTCATAACCAACAAGCAGAATTTTCTCTGGCATTCTTGAGACAATGCCTGGGACCACATTTGCAATTAATATACACTACCCTACAATAATGGAAGAGATATTTCAGTTTTTGACATTTTTTTAAATTTTTCAAGAAATATTAACCTAGCTTAAATATTTATGAAGATATGGACATTTTTATTTAAAAAAAAAAAAAAAAAAATACANTTTTTTTTTTTTGTCACAACTTTTAAAATATGCAGTAAAATTAAACAAAATTTTTGTAGCAATTTAAAATTAATTACAAAATTATTGTTTTAAAATTGTGCGAGATATGAGTATTTCAAGTTGTTCTTTTATAGTAGGCATGCACAGAAAAAGTTTAAACTTATTTTTTCATAAATTTGTAATGAATTGTATTTGTCAATTAATGAAAAAAATCTGATTTAAATATCTTAAAACGTAGAAAGTTTTGAGCAATTTTTTAAGTTGTACTTTTTAAAAAAAAGCTCAAAATGATCAGGGGGTTTACACCAATTTTATTATGTATTATAGCAAATGACACTACCTTATAATAACTGGACAGCAAGAACAAAATTAAATTGTGAAAAAACCCTTATCGCTTTGAGATTTCCTTTAAAAAGTACAAAAACTACTGAGAAAACTGAACGAAACTTTTAAAATATTTAAATCAGACTTCTTTCATTAGTTGCCAAATATATTCAATACAAAATTAATTTAAAATATTGCGTTTTTTTTTTTTTTTTTTTTTTTTTTTTTTTTTTTTTTTTTTTTTTTTTTTTTTTTTTTTTTTTTTTTTTTTTTTTTTTTTTTTTTT